AGCGTTTCCGTGCACTTGTCATGGAGGTGACCCAGCCAGACGCGGTGCCATTTTTAGGGGCACCGGCCAGGGCTGTGGTTGGGTTCAGGAACAGCAAGGCTGCAATTTGGGCAGGAGTAAGCCCACGGCCACTTTGCAAAAAGAACCTGGGTGTCTGTTCTCTGACGAGGAAGTATTTTCGGTGCTGACAAGTAGCTTTCGTTTGTTTTCTATCCGAATGGTCAGGTTTGGGGACCATCCAGATATAAGCGTCTGAATTAGTCCGATTTTAGGATCTTAAACGGATTGGGGGTGTAAGAGGACCTCTTTGAAAGTCTGGTAAAAAGGGTCTTAATTTTTAGAAGTAGTAGACTTAGGATCCCCCTAAGGAGGGGATTAGATGTTTTTATGAAAGATACTTAAATGTCAGTGCAATATATTTGGTTTAAAATATTGCAAAGGAAATGAAAATAATACTAGCTAACACTTGTATATTTATCTGCGGTTCCTAAGCCACTTTTTATGCATACACGTGGAGATTCCCACCTATGGGTATAACGCATGTCCCTGGGAGTTTGTATAGATGGCGTACCAGTTTCCTCTTGCTGCGTGATGAGTTGCCCCAAGCGTACATACGGCCGACAGTAACATGCATTCGTCACCTTGCGGTTCCTGTGGGTCGGGGTTGGGGTACGACGTAGCTGGCCCTCTGCTGGGGTGTGTCCAGGCTGTGGGGAGGTGTCCAGCAGGAGGGGTTTCGGGGAGACTGGGCTCTTCCCTGGGCTCCCGGGTGGCTGGCAGGACCTGGAGCCCCCGTTGGCAGCGGCTGGAATACACACATCCACGCTAGTGCTGTTCCTGCTGCCCGGACGGTCTCCTTTTTTTTTCTTTTTCTTTTTGAAATTTCCTTTAAAAAGTGTAGTTTGTTTGTTTTTTAATTACGAAAGTAACAAATGCTTTTGGAAAGAAAATTCAGATAATACAGGCATACCTACCATAAACTTGTGATTTTCTTACCTCGCTACCCCAGTCCCATTTCTAGAAGCGAGCGTAGTTTAATAGAGGGTAATCTTCCAGATTATGTAGGTTTGAGTAAAAATTAAGCTTTCAGCCCGGCCGGCGTGGCTCAGTGGTTGAGCGTTGACCTATGAACCAGGAGGTCACAGTTGGATTCCCGGTCGGGCACATGCCCAAGTTTTGAGCTCAATCCCCGGTGTGGGGCGTGCAGGAGGCAGCCGATCAATGATTCTCTCTCATCATTGATGTGTCTGTCTCTCTCTCCCTCTCCCT